GTGTGTGTGTGTGTGTGTGTGTGTGTGTGTGTGTGTGTTTCTCCCTAGCCCCGTGTCAGCTCAGTGCCTCCTTGGTAACCATATGAATTCCCCTGAATTGTATCAGTGTATGGGCACCCTAAATGGGCTGCCTACCAAGGCCATTGCCACCTCTGCCACCAAGAGCCAAGCCAGAAAACAGAGGGAGGTGGGTCAGAGAGGAGGAGAGCCAGGAGAGATGGGCAAGGCAGACAGCTAATGCCAACACCTCCAGGGTTCAGCTGCCAGTGGCCTTTGGGACAGCGCCCCTTCCTGACTAGGTGGGTAAGCCCTTGGCCAGATGGCTCCCGGATGACAATTCTGGCCATTGGCCCCACACATTTGCGGCCAGCCCAGCCCCAGCCCAACCTCAGTCAGGCCGCCTCACCGTCCTTCCGTCGCTTCACCATTCTCCAAGCCAACATGGAGGCCGCCGCCAAGAGAAGCAGCAACACGGCGCAGAAGATGGGCAGGAGTATGTTGAGCTTCAAGAAGTCACCGCTGGAAACAACAGAAGACACCCATGCACGCTGGCTCACCTTTGGGCCTTGCCCCATTCACCTGGTAGCAAGGAGGGCCACACACCTTTTCACCTGTGGCTTCCAATCTGGGAACCCCCATCCCTGGGTGCCCTCAAAAATGGTTTAAAAAAAAGAAGAAGAGGAGGAGGGTTCTGCAAGGTAGTTTCAGGAGGCCTGGAAGCCTAACAGAAATTGTATGACAACAGGCCCTGAGAAGGTCTCCCTGCCTCTACGCGTGTCCTCTGTACTGGTTGAATGGTGTCCCTCACCCCATAATTCATGTTCACTCAGAGCCTGTGAAGGTCTCCTGTGAAAGTGACCTCTTTAGCAGTAAGATCTTTGCAGATGTAATCAAGATGAGGTCATACTGGATTAGGCTGGGCCAAATCCAACGACGGGTGTCCTTATAAAAGGGAGATTTGGGCACAGACACGTGCAGGGAGAAGGCCATGTGTCAACAAAAGCAGAGATTAGAGTGATGCTGCCACAAGTGAACGAATGCCCAGGATCGGCAGCAGCCTCCAGAAGCTAAGAGAGAGGCACGGGACGGATTCTACCTTTGAGCTCCAAGGAGCCAACCCTGTTAACACCTTGATTTCAGATTTCTGGCCTCCTGAGCTGTGAGAGAATAAATTTCTGTTGTCGTAAGTCCCCCAGTTTGTGGTAGTTCATTATGGCAGCCCCAGGCAACTAATACTGCCTCCTGTAATTCAGCATTAACAGAGTGGCCAGGGGAATCCTTTTAACCAAAAGTTCGAACACATCCCTCCTCTGCGTAAAACCTTGCAACAGCCCTATTTCATTCCAAGAAAATGGCCAAGGCTGACAATGGCCTCCACTCCCCCAAACTTTCTTTCCTCGTGTCTTACTATGCTCACCCTTGCTTGCTCTACCGGGAGGGAAATGACCGGGGTCCTTAGAAGAAGAGATTAGGATACAGACACACACAAAGGGGAAACCATTGAAGACACAGGGAGAAGACAGTCATCTACAAGCCAAGGACAGAGGCCCAAAGAAACCAAGCCTGCTGACACATTGACTCAGACTTCTGGCCTCCAGAATTGTTTAGAAATAAATACCTGTGATTTAAGCCACCCAGCCTGTGGTATTTTGTTTTGGCGGCCCGAGCTGACTGTCAAGAACTATCTCTTATTCATCAATATTCATAGAAATTTGTAGAATAAATCCATCAATCAATTAACTCTATTTCGTACATTAATTATCTCTTCGTCGTAAGTGCCTGGAGGGCAGACAGCTTGATTATTTTGTTCATCCCCATATCCCTTTGTATTTCTTAAATCAGTAATAGGCTTGAGTGGGTGCTCAATAATCATTTGTTGCATACATGAATTTAATTATCCCTATGATGCTGATCAAAGATCCTAATTGGTAATTACATATGGCTTTGATTCATAAAATGAGGAAACCCGATAGCTATTACTTATTAAAAACAGTTTGGTAGAAAGACCCTCTCAAAACAGAGGGCACATGGGAGAGGGGACAAAAGGGGCCCTTGAGATAGAAAGACTGGGGGTGTCCCATAGGGCCCAACAATAGGAGATCACAGCAGATCTAGAAACGAAGCCAAGAGGGCCAAGCAGAGTGAAGAGAGGAAGTGAAAGGGGCCTCTCAGCCTCCAGAAGCCCCCTTTAGCTGCACAGGCTGGGAAGAGCACTAAGAAACATGAGAGGGGCTCAGTTTCTTTCTCTGTAAAATTGGAACGTGTGTATCTGCCCAACCCTCCTCATAAGGTGGTCGTTGGCAAGGTCAAAGCGTTAATAGAATAAAAGATGGGAACATCCTCTGTGAGTTACCAGTTACTCTAGAGACATGAGAGACCATCAGTATCACTGCTGCTGCCATAACAGTAATTAGGGAAACAGGACTTCCCCAGGCCCTCCCTGTTCTCCCGGAATTTGGACCAAGAGCACCACGACCCCCATGCCCACACACGCCCCGGCCATGCCACAGGCCCTGACTGCCTGCTCGTCCATCTCCCACACTCTGAGCTCCGCAGGGGATGATGCTCTGTGTCTGAGTCTGCAGAGCTCAACGCAGTGCCGGCCATGTAAATGTTAACACAGTACAAATGGGATGGCTGAATGAACCTGCAAACTGCACTGAGCTCCAGGAGAAAGGATCTGGGGGCTCCAAGGACACTGTACAGCCCAACAGCAAGTGGGAAGGGCCCCTGGCACCCTGGCTGGGACCTAGGACTATATAAAGGGTCCCCCCATTAGAGGAGTTTTGGACAAGTGGGCCACAGGGAACAGCAGCATCAAAGTTGACTTACCTGGCATCAGGTGGCTGGTGGCTGGTCACATTCGGGATGCATGTAATGTTTTCTGGGGTGACTTCAACTGTGGACATGATGTTGGTGGAGGTGGCAGTAGAGGTGGTAGGGGTGGTCGACACTGTAGTTGTTGCTTGGCATACAGACCAGATTACATTCTATGCTGCTTACTAGCCCACCCACAGCCCTGCACGTGGTTCTGAGCCTAGGGAGCGTGAAGGGGGGCCTGGCCTGAGGAACCTGGAGCAGGGCCATGGAAGGTGCCCATATCCAGGACTGCTCATATCTCCCTGGCATCTAGGAGACTCAGAGCCTCAGAGGCAGTTAGCGCTGGGCACAGGTCCCGGGGAGGATGTCAAGCAGGCCCTGGAAGGGTGAGGGGGCCCAGGATTGCTTCAGGTCAAGGGCAGCTGGAGTTCAGCTGAACTTTAAGCACTTCTGCTGCTTATGACAGGGCTTCAGCCAATGCCTCCCCCGTCTTATTTATCCAGCAAGGACAGGAGCAGAATAGGGGCTTGCCAGGTAACATACCCAAGATCTGTGACTTCTATGGTCAGGACCAGTCCTGAACAAAATTGCAATGTTCAGGAAGAGTCTTTACTTTGGACAAGTTCCTAAGTTTCTACAATGGGAATAGTTCCTTCTCAGGAATACTGACTGTCAGGACTCCATGAGACAGTGAACGTGCTATGCTTTGCAGGTATAACAGGCTTCCCAGATTCCAGGTTTTGTGGGGGCTCTGTTAACTGTGTGTCCCCCTTGTGCCACAAGTGCCCTGTGAGCTGGCAAGGCCTATCCAAGCGTCAGCAGAAACAGAGCCCAACAGGTAAACGTGTTCAAACCAAGATACTCCCAGGAGTGTCTGCATTCTAGAAGGACTTAGGAAGAGAATGTCATTAAATCCAGGTACATAAATGGCTCGTGATGGGCTTCCAGGCACCAGGAATGCAGCCCTTTGACCTCTGAGGCCTTTCCAGACTTCAGAAATTAGGCCCCCGTCCAATTTCTGGGCCTCTTTCTCCCTGAGATTGGATATGGAATAAGGGGTGAGAACGGCAGCTGTGAAGTCCCAGCCCCTCACGTCACAGAGAGCTAGCTGGGCCCCAGAGATCCCAGGAAAGCATTACAGGAATTGAGGTCTCTGGGTCCCAAGGAAGAGGGTCCCTTTGAACCAGGGGCTGAAACCGGGACCATCACTTTGATTTCTATGGACAATAGACTCAGGCACTGAGCTGTGCAGAGAGAAAAAAAATGCCAGTGAGACTTGATCCCATCCTGAAGAAGGCCCTGGGAGTCATGACAGCATCTAAGAGAAGCCTTGGCCCTCCCAATCCCTACTGTCAGTCAGGGTTCCTTGAAACCTCAGGACTCAACCACCCTGTGACAGTTCACTCTGAGTGAGTTAAGTCACTAGAGAGGGACCTTAGGGACCAGGACAGAGCAGACCATGAAGAGACACATCCATACATACACATACTCTTACCTGGACCAATGGTCACTGTAACTGGGACCCCAAGGTCAGTTCCAGTTCTCTGAATCCCACACCAGTAAACGTCTGCATCATCTCGCCGGAGCTCCTCCATGGTCACGGTGAACATGCGGCTCCTCTGATGGTCCCTGATGGACACGCGGCCCTTCTTCCACTTTGATCCAGCGGTCAGAACTAGGATCTTGCAGCTTCTCCAAACAGCTCCTTTGCACCACCACTTCACATAGGCCTCCCACCCCGAGTCATAATGGCACCGCACAGTCAGTGAGCCCTGCTCTGGGCCTCTCACTGTTTTGGGACCCCAAATATCATCCGAGCCTGGAAAACACAAATCCATGTGCCTGTCACCTCCCACCCGAGGGCGGGGCCGCAGCGTCCTGCATTGTGAATAGCTCCAACAAGTCCCAGTGCCTGATGAATTGAATAGAGTCACGGAGGGAATACACCTTTCACAAGACAGGCCTTTTCTCTTTCAAAATTCCACTGAGTCAGAGCCACCATGAGAATCACCTGAGAGCAGAACTACAGATCTCAAAGACACAAAAATGTGGACACTGAGCCAAATAATACCTTCCTGCAATTCACCCCCCCTCTGCCCCGCCCGCCACCATAGCCAATATAATCTGTCTTTCCAGCAATGTCCTTTTGCATCCGTCTCTGTGTCATCCTGGCCTCATGGGGAGGAACTACCTGAGGACCCATTTCTAAGGAGAATGACTGCTGCCTTGACCTGTACGGATGACCACAGGAGGTCCAGCAGAAGCATCCTCCCTGCCCCGCTGTGCAGGGGCTGTGTCCCTAATGGTCTTAATGGTTTCTAGTGGTTCTAGAGTAAACCCCCCCGGGGGGGAGCACCTTGGAAGTTCACCAAAACAGTAATGCCACCTATGGAATCCATACCACTCGCATCCCATTTTCTCCATTGAATTATTTGGATTTCTTTATCAAAAAGCAAATTTGTGAGTTACTTATGGATTTTGCACTCTGTTCCATTGATCCGTGTGTCTATCCTTATGCCAATCCATACTGTCTTGAATACTACAGCTTTGCATACAGAGAAATGCATCTTTACTGTAAGAAAAACAACACTTGAAGCATGATGAAAAATGACAACTGTCACTTAAGCCTCAGTGACAGACCCTGGGAAGTCGTGAGGACCACGGAGACGTGGAGAGGTGACCCATGCAAAGGCAGAGCCCCCATTCCACATCAGCCAATTGTCCTCAGGCAAGCAGCAGGCTCTGTAGTTTCAGATCTTTTCATTTTTCTGGAGTAGCCAGAAACCTAAATCTTTTGTGGAACCTCTCAATTTTAAAAACACTGGCTGATTAGAAATGGCAGCAGCAGATATGACCTGAGCCCCACACACCCTGTCTAGCAGTTGAGCCTGACATCTGTGCTGAGCTCCCGGTCTATATTCAGAAGTAAGGCGCTATTCTATAATTTTCTTTATGTTTTGTCAAGCTTTGATATTAGAGATATGTTAGTTTCACAAAATTAGTCTGGCAGATTTGCATCATTTTTATGCTCTTTGCAATCAGAGCATATATACAGCAAAGAAATTTTTGTTTCTTTAGAATCCTAAAAAGCTATCTACAAAACTATCTGGCAAATTCTTTATTGGGGCAAATTCTTTTTGTTGTGGTGGCTGTTGGTGGTGGGTTTGTTTTATTTGGACTTTTAACCCCTCCCCATGTTTTTAAAAAGATTTGTATTAAAATATATCTAACATACAATTTTATATTAGTTTCAGGTGTACACCATAGTTATTTAATATTTACATACTGAAAAAAGAGATCACCATAGGTCTAGCAGCCGTCTGACACCATACCACGCTATCACAATATTATTCACTATATTCCCTATGCTGTACATTACATCAATTGGGGCAAATTCTTTGATTACATAAAATTATTTTCCCATCAATATTGACCTATTCTAGTTTTTTTGCTGTTCTTGAATCAACTCCATTGTTTTGTTCCCCAGAAAGCTACCTATTTTATGAAGTATGTATTAGCATAAAGTTCTGCAATTATAAAGTATCCTTTTATCATTAAAATGTGCATATCTATTATGATTACACATTTTGATTACATACACTCTTTCATTTTTATTGATTACATGTGCCACAAGACTGCCTCCTTCACTATTTCTCCTCCTTCTTTTTTCCTGCGTTTGACTACTTTTGAGATTTAGTTGGTAAACGTTACTGTTTCTATTTTCTAAATTATGAACTTCTCATATGTATAGTTTTACTCCTCTTATTTTCTTGATATTACCACTTGTCTTTTTCCGATTTGCTAAGTTAAAGACTGATAATTTTCTTCATGTCTAAAATTAATGAAAGCATGTTTAGGCTAAAATTTTACTTTTGTCTGCTTAAAATTGAGGTATAATTCACATATCATAAATTCTACTCTTTTAAAGGGCATGCTTTGGTGGTGTTTAAGATACTCCCGGAGTTCTGCAACCATCAACTGTCTCTTTTTATTTTAGACATTAAAACCCAACTCTTTCTAATTTCAGAACATTTCATCACCTCAAAAGAAACCCTGTACCCATTGGCATCCCACTTCCCTCTTCCCTGAAGACTAGGCAACCACTAATCTACTCTCTGTCTCAATGGATTTGCCTCTTCTGAACATTTCATATAAATGGAATCATACAGTGTATGACCTTTTGTGTCTGGCTTCTTTCACTTAGCATCATGTTTTTTAAGTTTCATCCATGTTGTAGCATGTGTCAGGACTTCATTCCTTTTACAGCTGAATACTAACTATTCCATGGTATGGATACACCACATTTTGTTTATCCATTTATCCATTGATAACATTTGTGTTGTTTCCACTTTTTCACTATTGTGAATAATGCTGCTATGACCGTGCATGCGCACTTTTTTTTAATTGGGAAATTGGGGGAGAGGAACAGTATTGGGGAATTGGGGATGGGGAACAGACAAGTTGTTGATCTTCAATCTTAGTTGTGGAGGGTCCCAGTTGCCATCTGGCTTCCCGACGGCAGCTCGTAGCCTCTAAGCTCAAGCTGCTGTGTTCAATCTTAGTTGCAGGTGGGCGTAGCCACCATCCCATGCGGGAGTCGAACCAGCTGCCTTGTCGTTAAGAGTGCACGCTCTATCCACTGAGCCATCCGGGCAGCAGCTTAGCTCAAGGTGCCGAGTTCAGTCTTTAGTTGCGGGCGGGCGTAGCCCACCATCGAACAGGCAGTCTTGTTGTTAGGAGCACGTGCTCTCACCAGCTGAGCCATCCTGTCACCTGTTGGCAGCTCAGTGGCAGCTCAGCTCAGGTGCAGTGTCACTGGCCCATGTAGGAATTGAACCGGCGGCCCTGTTGCTCAGAGCTCATGTCCTTAAGCCAACTCTTAACCTACTGAGCCACTCGGCCAGCCCTCATGTACATTTTTTTATACAAATACATGTGTTCAGTTTTCTCGGGTGTACACTTAGGAGTGAAATTGCTGGGTTACATGGTAACTCTATGTTTAACTGTTTTGCAGACCTGCCAGACTTTTCCCTAAGAATTTACTTTTGAATACAGCTTTGGCTGTGTCACATAAGTTTTGATATATAGTATTTCCATTTTTGTTAAAACTTAATGAGTTTATATATATATTTTATGTTATCTGTCGTCAGCCCAGGTTTTTTTTAGAATCTTCTCCCTCCCCCATCTCAAATTTTATTTTCTGTGAATTATTTTCAGGTGTATTCTTCTCTTGAATATTAACTTAATGTTGTCTTTCCTTTGTGATGCAGAAATTTGTTCATAAGTCACAAAAGAAACCTCAAAAATTCATCTTTCCTCCCAGGGCAGTGGGTCATTGCTTAGTTCCCTGTGGACGTCACAGGAAGCAGATTCTAGAGTGCAACACATTTCTGTTCCTCACCAGCACCCTGGTAGCTCAGGTCTACCCATGTGTGGTCAAATGGTCTCTAGCTCTCACCACTGTGAAATTTCACGCTGCCAGAGATTCTGATACAGTCTCAAGTTTTCATGCACCATATATAAATATCCATCCTTAGCTGCCCTAAGTAAACCATTTTACATTCCCATGAACAACGTATGTCCTGCCCAATTAATGTTAAGAGTCTCAATTGTTCAGTTCTACGAAAGCAGAAAGAGAAAGATTTGGCCGGGGCGGGGGGGTTACAGCAATCATATTGTTTCTTCCTCATTAAACACATTCACTCGTTCAACTAATACTATTTGTCCAATCTGTACCTGGTGTGATTGTAGGTGCAAGATTCCTGTCCTCCTGAGGTTTACATTCTCTCAGGATGGGGGGAGGGAGGCGACAGGCAGTGGAGGCAAATAATGCAAGGGAATTGCTATTTGAATTAGGGTCATCAATGAAGGCCTCAGTGAGAAGCAAAAACATGCAAGATGGGAGGAGGGGGGACCGAAGCCTGTGACTATCTGGGGAAGAGCATTCTGGGCAGAGAGAACAGCAAGTGCAAAGGCCCTGAGGCAGGAATGTGCCTAGCATGTCCAAAGGACATCTGAAAAGCCAGTGTGGCTGAAGTGGGTTGAGCCAGAGGGAGCAAAGTAGAGGAGAGGCCAGAGAGACGATGCGGTGGAGGGTCCCAGGTGGTGAGCACCTTGTAGCCTCTGTAAGGGCTTTTTATTCCAAGTAGGACGGGAAGTCATCGGAAGGTTTCGACCAGAGGAGAGACAAGATCTGGCTTCCATTTTCAAAGGATCATTATGGGATGTGAAAGAAGAGATGGATGCCCCCAGGTTTTGCCTGAGCACCTATAAAGATGGAGGTGCCAAACACAAAGGTCGGGGAGAGAGGAATTTGAGGCGGAAGGTGTGGTCAGGTCACATTTGAAATGTCAACATCTGAGTGGAAATGTTCAGTGGGCAATTGGATAGACCAGGGGTCGGCAAACTTTTGAGATGGAAGAGCCGCCAGGGGTCGGCAAACTGCAGCTCGCGAGCCACATGCGGCTCTTTGGGTACGTACATGTGGCTCTGAAGTAAAATTTTAAATGAAAATAAAACTATCATAGCTTCATTTATAAAATTTCTAAAGGACATTATTCACATAATGGTGATTATGTGAAAATATATTTGTGGCTGTCAGATAATTTTTAAATTGTTGTGAGGGACAGGATTGGCTCTTCCAGGGGTCGGGAAACTTTTGAGACGGAACGTACCAAAAGAGCCGCATGTGGCTCGTGAGCCGCAGTTTGCCAACCCCTGGGATAGATGATTCTGGAGTCCAGGGGGATGCCCGGGCTAGGGATACCAAATTGGAGTCATTTTGTATAAAAATGGTACTTAAGGCCACCAGAGGAGGTGAGATCAACAAGGGAGTGACTCTAAACAAAAAAGAAGCCCAAAGACTGAGTTCTGAGGCCCTCCAACATTTCAAAGTCAAGCAAATCTCTTTAATTTTTAGTCAAAACAGTACCCATCACCTTAAAGTTTACTTCAGCCTGCTATCACTACCTGTATCTCAGCCCTCCTTTCTTCTTCATCCTACCAAGCTACCTCCTCTTGGTTTTTCAGTCCTTCAGCAACTTCTATTTCCTTCTACCCCAAATGCCTAGCATCACCATTCCCTCCCTGCCTGGCAAACTCCTTGCTTTTCTTCCTTCAAGTCTCCTCCATCTTCACTTCTTCCCCCAAAGCCTTCCCTTGCTCATAACGCTTTCACAAAGGTCCAAGAGCAAGTATTCACCAGCATGCCCGAGTACCAGGGCCTCTCTGCTTTGACCAGTGAGGCCCATCTGTCCATTTTGAAACATCAGCCTCTGGGTGGTCAGGAATTATTCCTTGTGCTGAGTTCATCATGAAGGCTGTGCTCAATATCTCTGCATTAGCAACTGTAAGCATTGAAACACTGGGTGAGTGGCTGAGTGGGTGAAACACACAGGCTCATGGCCCGGAGGAACTACCTAGCAATGGGGTCCACTTCTCAGCCAGACACCTGCTGGGCCCCCTCCTCCGTCTGGCAGCCACTCCCTCCTTCCCCATAACATTTTCCCATGCGTACAGACCCAGACCCCACTCACCTGAAAGCTGGAAGAGAAGGGTGAAGAGCAGCAACAGGCTCATCTTTCTAGATGCACGGGTCCCCTTGGCTGGAGCCCGTCAGCGAGAGCCAACTACGGAGACCACTCCTTCATCTTCCAACCTTTACTTTCGTTCACTCTTGCTGTTGCACTTCCTCCTTCGGTCACTTCCCACTGGTGAATAAAACCAAAAGAGGAAGGAAGTGGACTGGGTGAAATGTTAAGACAGTTGGCAATACAAGAAGTCATAGTGATTGTGAATAAGCTTTTGAGAAACACCTTCCTGTCTGGGGCCACCATGTGCTCTCTAAAAAGAGAACTTTGCGATGCTTCTAGGTCTTCTGGAAATTGCAGATACAGACCCATGTGCTCAAGCTGGCTCTTATGCAATCCTCTCCACAGGTGGGAAGACAGGGGCAGGGGAAACCCAGCGCCCTGGAAGAGTTCTTGGATAGCCAAGGCTAAGGGACACAATGCCCTAAACCGGGAATTTCAGGTGTAGCCAGATTCGCAGGAGTTCAATCACATTAAGGGGAATTTGGGGCGAAAGTCAGAAAGCCAGAGGAGGGGTTCTACGCCAGAGGTTGGAAAGAGGAGCCTGAGGGGGATCAAAGCCCAGACCGCCGAAAAGGGGCTCAAACAAAGGGAAACTACTGGTGCAACGGGCAAGAGGGGCCTCTGTCCTGAGCACATACCCAAAACTCTTCTTGCTGTGCCCCAACCCATATCTGTGGGTGTCAACACCAGCCTGCATCTTCCAGAAGCTTCTCAGTCATACCAAGGGCTCCTGTCTGAAGAAACCAGCTCCTTGCTCATGGTTGTTGCCTCCTTGCTCCTCACCCCCCACCTTATAATATCTATCTGCTGAAATACCAGCTCTACTTGCTCCCGACTTTCTGACACCTCTGAGCCCATCAGGATCCCAGCAAGCCCTCGGATGGAGCACAGAGATTAGGAAAAGATGGAGCCCTTCTCATATTTCTCTCCTGGGACCACTTTTGCTATGTGTCACACACACCCTGTAACATCTTGAAGAGCAAGTGAGCCCCAAGGAGGGACCTAATCCCCTCACACCCTAGTCAGGAATGTGTAGGAGTGCAGGATGGTTATTTGCATAGAAAAACACAGCCGCTGATAAGCTGTGGCTTTTCCAGGATGTGGCCAGAGCCGGCCTTTCACTTTACATATCTCCAGACCATAAAGCAAGGTCAACAATGGGGGGTGAGAACTCGGTCAGCCCTGTGGCCCTCACTGATCCCCAAGGCCACCCTCTGCCCAGGGCACTGTGCTGGTATGCTGAGAGGCCTCCGCAAATAGGGACAGTGACAGCCTGAAAAACAAGGGGGCAGATGCTTTGAGGGTCGTCAGGTAAACTTTCCTTTCTTGGGCGTGGGCAGTAAGGAGTGAACAGCCTCAAACCTGCTCGGAGTCGTCCCTCTGATCCTGGGCCATCCTAGGCCCAGCCTAGAGAAGGAGGGTTCCCTTTTACATCAAGTACAGAAAATGACCCAGTGTCTCGGAATGGTGGCAAGACTGCTCCTCTAAACAAGTGCCTCTGGAAACTACAGGAGAGTCGGGCTATGCTGAGGGTCCTGTGTACCCAAAGACCCAGTTGAAGCCCTAGTCCTGGATGGGTCATTGACTTCTGCATGAATCAGTTACCTCCCCAGGGTTCCATGTCCTCAGCGTGAAAGAAGGGATTGGACAGATTATCTGAAATTCGCCCTGCCCCAAAGCACCTTTGTGTATGTGTACATGTGTGTGCATATGTGTGCATGTGTACATACACATTGTGTGTGTGCGTGTGTAGTGTGTGTGTGTGTGTGTGTGTGTGTGTGTGTGTGTGTGTGTGTGTGTTGGCTTCATTGGCTTCTCCTGGTTATAAAGAACAGAGTCTTGCTCAAGCTATTTGTCGTGGTCACTGCGGACTTGCCAACTATTAATACAATCTGTTTTCAGAACTCAATCTGTTCATAGGTGGAGACACTCCTGTATTAAAAGGGCCAGTTTCTCTGGGTCTCTTCCACTCTGGAATAGAAGGTCCATGAGAAGTTTGTTGCAAGGCCCACTTGAGAATGACAAAACTCAAAGTCTAAACCAAGTGGACCTGAAGAAAACCAAGGAACTAAGACTGTCCATGGAGGAGCAACAAGAAACTGTTGAGACAGACTTCATTGGGACCAGAGCTGACGGTCACCAGGATCTAGGTGCCTCAGGGCTGAAGCCGTTTCACTTCAGGCTGTGCCACCAGCATGACAGCGCCTTTGCTGTGTTCCCCTTGTCGGGGTGCTCAGTGCAGTTTCTAGCTTCTTACTTCTTTGTGAAAGTGAAAAAGAGGCAGATTTGCCATGAAGCTTATTAAACATCAGCACCTCTCACTTAATCAGGCTCCTTTCAAAGCTCTATATTCAATTTTGTGTTCATAATTTAGCATCCTTTTTCCTAAAAAGGGGCCTCAATGTTGTATACCCTCAGGCCTGTGGTAGACGGTCCCACCCTGTCTACCTACACTTTGGCTCCATAGTTGTCCTCACTAAAGAGGCAGGGTCTATTCCCCTCCACCTCCCAGTCTGGACCAGACCTGTGACCTATTTTGCCCAAGAAAATGCAGCAGAAGTAATGATGCATCAGTTCCAAACAGCCACAGAGGCCTCTTACATTTCCTCTTGTTCTCATGCACCTCTGCCTCTGCCGTGAGAATGCACCGGCTGGCCTGTGGGTGGGTGGAATGACATGTGGAGCAGGGCCAAGCTGCCCCAGCCAACAGCCTGCTGACCCCCAACACCCATGAAGCCCACTCGAGACCAGAAGGACCACCCAGATTAAATTGCCGACTCACAACCTTGTTGTGTGTCACTGAGTTTGGGACAGTTCATTGCAGCATTTTTGTGGAAACAGAAACTATGAAAATAAGACCCCACAAAACATAGACCCGCCCTACAGCAGCTGCCTGTCTCTGGAAGATTCAGGCTGGTGTTGATATTCACAGGCATTCACTCCGCTCTGTACGGCTTTAGCTGCCCCCTGGCTTCTGTGCACCCAGATCCTCTCAGCCTTTCTGCCTTTCCCTCGCATCTCCTCCCGGATGGCCCCTTTCTGCCCCTCAAGTCTCCCTTTGATGTGGTTCAGATCAGAACAGACCTCGGACCAACCATCGGTGGCTTGTGATTCAAAACAATAAGCTTACAAAAGCAATACATGTTCATTTTAGGAAAACTATTGTGAAATACAGGTAAGGGAAAACATACATATTTAATTGCCTCTAATCTCACCACCCTGAGATAACCACTTTTAACATCAAGGTTTAGACTTATGCCTTTTATCTCTTCCTGCAGAAATGCATAGTTAGTTCAGAAATCAAGAAGTGTCACTAATGTGCTGTATGAGCTCATGTCACTCATTGCTCAACAGATTTTCATTGCAAACAACACTGTCTACTTTGGGAAAAGATGTCCTGTAAACAAACGTCATCAAGAGTGGTTTTAGGGCCGGCTGAGTGGTGCGTTGGTTAGCAGTTGGCTTGGGACGCCAGCTCTGAGCAGCAGGGCCCAGTTTGGATCCCACATGAGGGCCAGTGATGCAGCACCCTCTACAGCTAAGATGGTGAACAACAACTCGACCTGCAGCTGGGCTGCCATGAGTCACCAGCGACAGTGTAGACTGCAGTGGAGCTGCAGTGGGCTGCTGTGAGCTATCATGAGTGGCTGGCAGCCGGCGTGAGCTGCCAAGAGCCACTGTGAGTAGCCGTCCAGTGGCCAGCAACCGATCTGCCTCACCCGGGAAGAGTGCAATGATAATACCAACATGGGCAAGTGAAGCGACGTCCTCCACAACTAAACTGAAGAACCAAAAGGACAGCAACTTGTCTGTTTCCCTTCCCTGATTCCCCAATGCTGTTCCCCTCCCCCAATTCCCCAATTAAAAAAAAAAAGAAGGGTGGTTTTAAAGCTTTGGGGAGACAACTCACATTTCTTCTGGGTGTAAATGCATCCAGGGATGGCCACCCAGACTCCTCATGGTCACTGTGGACTTGCAAACTACAGACAATCTGTTTTCAGACCCCAATCTGTTCATTGGCGACAGAGCTCCCATATTGAAATGGCTGGTTTAGCAGTGACAGGTTAGCTCAGTTGGTTAGGGCATGGTGCTGACAACACCAAGGTTGCAGGTTCGATCCCCACATGGGCCACTGTGAGCTGTTCCCTTCCTGAAAGAGTCAACTATGCCATTGTAGCATGAAAGCGATGTGTAACCAATGACCATGGCTGTTCCCCAATAAAATTTAAAAAAGAAAGAAAGAAAGAAAGAAAGAAAGAAAGAAAGAAAGAAAGAAAGGGCTGGTTTAGTTGGTTCTCTCCCGTTCTGGACTAAGGGCCCATAAGGGCTGTGTCTCCAGTGGCTAAAACCACACTTGGCACACAGTAGATGCTCTATAAATAACTGATGGGGGCCGGCCGAGTGGCTCAGTTGGTTAAGAGCTCGCTCAAGAGTGTGAGCTCTGAGCAACAGCGGTTCGAGTCCAGCCCGAGCTGAGCAGCCGCTGAGCTGCCAACAGGTAGCAGGATGGCTCAGCTAAAAAAAAAAAAAAAAAAAGAGTTCATAAATAACTGATGGGCAATGAATAAACAAATGAGCTATTTTTACTGCATTGTCAATCTTCCCCTGGCTCTGTAAGCTCTGCTGAGGAACTCTGTCTAGCACCTAAGAACCAGTGGTAAACCAGGATTGTTCTCAGCAGCCACTCCTGCACCCTTTCAGTTCACCTTGGTCCCAAGTACATGTCATCCTTCATCTTTTCTACCCACTATGTGCTATGCTCCATATTTTATGTAGCTATCACATTGAATCCTCCCTACATATCTAGAGGAAAGGTGACGTAATTTCCACTTTTCAAATAAAAAATAAAAATCAAGGCTCAGAGAACAAGCAACTTGTTTAAGGCCCCATGGCATGTAATTGGCAGAGCCAGTTACAGAGGCAGATTCAAGCCCGGCCTGACTCACGTAAGCATGTCATCTGCCTCCTGCTGGAGAGGTTAAGAGAGAAAACAGCTGCCTTTAGATCCTGTTCAGTGCTGACAGTGAAGAAGGAACCTGACATCAAACACTTAGTAAAACAGGGCATCCTTGAGCTCTTCCCCTCCTGCACACTCCACATCCTGAAGGTCCTCAGGA